GGGTCCAATCATGAGTGACCATAATAGGAGCATGAGTGAGCTTCTCCTTCTAGGTCGTGATGTCGTTGTGCATGCGTCTGTGAAATAGTAGGGGGCATCCTTATCAAGGAGCTTTGTCAGTGGCAGGGCAATCTTCAAGAATTCCTTGATGAAACGTCGATAGAAACCTGCATGGCCTAGGAAGCTGCGAATTCCCTTCACCGAAGTGGGAGGAGGCAGCTTACTGATCGTCTCAATCTTGGCTCTGTCCACCTCGATCCCCATCTTGGAGATCATATGCCCAAGCACTATGCCCTTGCGGATCATGAAATGACATTTCTCCCAACTTAGCGCCAGGTTCGTCCCCTCACACCTCTTCAAGACGAGTTCTAGGTTATGGAGACAATGAGAGAATGAGTCTCCATAAATCGAAAAATCGTCCATGAACACCTCAGTGATTTCTCTAACCAGGAAATGGGACGAAGCAAGTTCAAACTTGATGAATGGCGAAGTGTGTGGCAAACTACACTCTCCACATTGTTTTACATGAGGCATTTAAAGATGAGGTTTTCCAAAACTTTGTTACGAACCAAGACTTTAGCAATTTTGATAAATAGCTGAGGATGTGCATACATTTTAATGATTTTAAATAGAGAAAAGCAGTTGGGTGTTACATAGAATATGTTCTTTTTCACCTTCCCCTACATCATCACTTCTTCAGTGGGTCCATTCTCTGGTCCCTCTTGAATCTCACTTTCCTCATCTTCACTCCAGTCTATAGTTGGTAGTACTCCTTCACCATTAGCCTGCAAGGCATTGAGTTGCTTCTTTGATTCAAAAACATGACCAAAGAAGTATTTGTCCCCACATTTGTAACATGCACCTTTAGGGTAATGGCATTTATTATTAGACATTGCAGTAGCCATAGCCCTCATTGTGGTTTACTCCCACCTTCCCATCTCTTACCCCATGACTGCCTCCACTACTAGCAAAGAGTGTAGAGGGACGAACAATAGTATTCCTCCATTTCCTTCTTTTGGCTTTATTGGAAGTCTCTTCCAGTTTGGCTATCTTATTTGCATATGATAGTGATTGAGGCCTCAACATCACTATTGGCCTTAGCTCCTCCTCTAAGTCACTGATGAAACTGGAGATAAAAAAACTCTTCCGATAATGCGGCATTATACCTCAATATCTATGACTTCAGATCTTCGAACTTCTCCTGATATTCAACCAAGGATCTCCTTTGTCGAAGCTTGTTAAACTCACCGACCACTCCTCTCTGAGTCCAATCACTAAATCGAGCACATAAAGCATTCACAAACTCAGGCCATATAAACTCACAACGAGTAGATTTCGAGCCTTCATAGGTGATCAAAATAGATGGCTGCCATTTTCACCCATTGGTGTACAAGAATCTCATATAAGCCAAACATTTTCTCAAATTTCTGGTCCACTGGGTTTTTCTCCATTAAAAGAGGGAAAATCTAAACGAGGTAACTGCACTTGATTGTTATTTTTGCAAGATTGAATTGATTCACTTCCAAGTTTGCTACACGATTCCTCGGAACCTATACCCTTCGAGGTGGATTGAGCTCCAATGCAGCGACCCCGAGTTCTGGCAGGAGAAGTATGACTCTATCTTTGTGTCAATCTACTACAGCTACCGCCGCATCAGCCACAACCACCGCTGGCTGGGGACAACCTAATTGATCGAGACGACGAAACATTTCCTCAAATATCTGATCGAAACATTGCTCAAGATCACCAAACCTTTAATCCAATTCGTTGAACCGTCGATCCATTCCTCCCACTCTGGTTGTGAGATTCGCGAACTGTCTTGAATGACCCTCGGCCTTCGTCGTTAATTCTTGTATATGAGATTCACTTCTCGCCAAATAATCTTGAACTACCACCGCTTGCTCCTCGACATTGGTGATGTGCAGAGAGACACATTGTTTCGAAATTGTTGGATACTGGTCTCCAAGGCTGCAACCTGTTTGTTAACCGTAGTGATTCGTTCCTCCAATAGGATGTTGCGAGTAGCTGCCGCCGTTGGTGTCTAGTACCGCTCTGTAGGGGTGAACAAACACACCCGCAAACCGACTCACCCGTCCAACCCGACCCAACCCACCTGTATTTATCGCTAAATCGAAGGTTTTGGGTTGGGTGAGGGTTTTCTTTTGTACAACCCGCCTCTTTTGGGTTGGGTTTGGATTTTGGATTACACAACCCGTAGAACCCGACCCAACCCGTGTTCCAATTATTGGTATGAGTCCGTATCCAAAAAAATATTTATGTCGTATTTAATCATACTTATGAGAAAATTAAGATATTTCGCCATGTTTTTCTCTTAAAGTCTCACTAATCTAATGCATTCTTCGACTTAAAGTTTAGACATATATTTAATATAGCTATGATTCACGTAATTTTTTTTTCTTGTGTACAATTTTAAAAGAATATCATATTATGGATGCGTTCCTTTGTAACCTTTTTAGCCTATTTCAACAAATATCGTGAAAAAAACTAGACATAAGTTGAAGTAAATCAAGTTTTATTAAAATTAAAACAATATTATTTTGATACTTTTCACCTCGGTTTATTCGTTTGAATTTTTAATTTGTTATAAAATATTTTTATGATGTAGAATAATTACATATTTTGTGTTGGGTTGGGTTTTTACTTAAAAATATCGCCAACCCGACCCAACCCAATTAGAAACAAACCGTAGGGTTTAGATTTTTTTGGGTGGGTTTGGGTTTAATATTTCCCAAACCGTAGTGCATTGGTCGGGTGATTAAAATGCCTAAACCCGAACCACCCGACCCATGTACACCCCTACCGCTCTGCCCCTTTTATATTGAACCCGGCTGACAAATTGTCGATCAGTCCCCCACTATCTACTGTCTACTATTCCGTCTTTGCAATTGAGTCCTTTAGTTTGAATTCCTTACACTCAAGTCCACGATCATTACACGGTGACAAGAGAGGATGGCGGGGGATGGAGTCGGCCGGTTCCCCTATTCCAATTTGAGGGTTCCTCACCCATAGCTCAAACCCCATGATTCTCCTCCATCCAAATTTCCCAGCCACCGAAACCTCCCCGGAAGTCGTTGTCCCCACATACACATCGTCGCCCAGCTCCGTTCTCCTCCATCCAAATCTGCCCGCCGCCAAACCATCCCCAGAAGTCGCGATCCGCACATATACGCCAGGCACGTTATTTTTTCTTTTCCTTATACAAGCCGGAAATGGTAGCCAAATCCTTTATGAACTCAAAGTACCCACGGATTAATTAGCTTATGTAAGCTTTGGTACTCCTCAACAGCAACAACAATAGCAGGTTATGCATCGCCATCAAAAGAATAATCGGCAGGAGCCGCCGGCTCTACGACCAGAGCCATGGCTGGTATACTCCCACGGGAAGCAGCGGAAGTCACAAACTTTTTAGGGTGCGTTTGGATAAGTGTATTTTAAATGTAAGGTATTTGAAATACTAGCATTTGAAATGGATGTATTTGAAGTATTAGCATTTGAAATACATGTAATTCAAATTCATTGTTTGGATACTCATTTGTAATTTGTTTGTATTTTTGTATTTATGATTTTCAATTTCAATTTTTAATTTTCTGGTCACTTACTACAAATTTTGGTAAATTACAGTTTGGTACTCAAAATTATTTTTTCTTACAATTTAGTACCTAAACTTTTAAAATTTTACAAAAAGGTCCTGAAATTTTGATGGTAAAATTACATTTTGGTACCTTTATATGTTTTGTCTCACACTATAGTACCTAAACTTTTCATATTTTACAAATAGGTCAATTCTTTTGTTAGGAGGTATTTCAAATCACTAGTTGTTGAAATGTATTTGAAGTTGACAAAAAATACACTAGACATGTATTTGGAAATCACACCATGAATTTGACACAAATCCAAATACCAAATCTAATTAATATCCAAACACATGATTTGGTATTTGAAAATCCAAATCACAAATACCAAATCCAAATCTTTGTATCCAAACGCACCCTTACAGCTTGTCGGAACGACGTTGCCACGTCCGAAATATTCCTCAGCTGCGAAATCGACATATATGGGCACATTGCCAAGGCTGGTTAGCCCTTTTTGGCACCGATCGAAGACTAAGATATTGTTCATTGTTTAACCCTGCGACCATGGAGGAGGTTCACTTACCCAACTTCCCATCCACTGCTAAGTCCATCTACAACTGTGCACTTTCTTCTCCTCCTACTCGTGGCAGTGTTAATAATTGTCTGCTGATGTGTATCGAATATTGTGACCAAAAGAAGCAGAGTGTTTTCCACTTCTGTCAGCCGGGGGATAAAGATTGGACCACACAACTAGTGGAGCCGCAACAAGGTCAATGCCGGGACGACGAGAATGCCCATCTCTTCCATTTCCACCACATCGTCAGCTTCAATGGCGAGTTATATGTTGTTTCAAAGTGCTGTCTCAGCCTCTTCAGGGTTCAGTTGATGATTGACAAACATAGTATTAATGATGTCTCAATCAAGTTACTTGATCTCAAGTTAAGGAGACCGGACATGCCTTGGGCGCACTTTATTAGGAGCACTATGTTGAGATTTTGCTTCCTGGTTCAGGCTTCACCTACTGAACTAATGAGAGTTGAGCTACACTACGGTGACAACAGAGACACTGACTTAAGCTTTGAGGCTTGTGTCGAGGGCTTGAAGATTGGTGTCAAGAAAATTGAGTTGTATAAGGTCAACTTCCAGAAACAAAGGTGGGAACACGTGGAGACTTTTCCCGAGGACACTGCAATCTTCTTAGGCTCCCATAACGATACTACAGTCTTCTATAAAATTCCAAGAAGACCAGATTTGGATGTGGAAGGATTTGTTCGTGGGAACACGGTGTACTTCATGGCAACAAGAGACGGGTATCTTTATGCGTATGATGTTGGAGAGAGAAGTATTAGTGTCTCGTTACCGTGTCCTAATGCTAACAGACATGATTATACTCAACCAGTTTGGATCATGCCCCTAGGTTGCTCATCTTCAACCATTGGTCCTCAACGGGAAATAGTAGCAGCCTTTAGAGATGATAGGGGAGACCATGAACACGAAATCTTGCCTGATGAGATTGGTAGTGAGCAAATTTTGTTGGCAGACATCAACTATAGCAGTACTGACGATGGGCGACATTGGTGGTCTGACATTCCAAGTGATCTTCTTTCTGATATACTATCTCGTTTATTTGTAGCCGATCGCTGCTTTTTTCGTCTTGCTTGCAAAACATGGAATTCAATATTCTCTAACGCTGTCTCTACATCATCAAATTATCAATTTGGAAGGGATCACTCATTTCCAATCCTCATACATAGAGGATTAGATGGGGAGGTAGTCGATGTATTCCACCCAATAACAGGTGTTACCAGTATCTTGTCTTTAGATGGTTTGAGTCTGAGAGGCGCAGTCATTCGCTGCTCCAAACACGGGTGGTTGCTAATGTCACAAGGACGTCAGGGTGATCAACTGTTCTTCTTCAATCCTTTTACCAAAGAAAGGATCAACATTCCTAGCATGCCATGTGACTTTGAAGGGATTACATTCTCGTCCCCTCCAACATCCGTTGACTCTATGGTTATTTGCTACACAGTTTGGCAGCAGCAAGTGGTGATATTCTTTATTTACCGAGGGGAGCATGAGTGGAGTCGATATGGAGTAATGAGCGACGGTATTGATTTCAAGAGCCCTTTCAGTAATCCAATTTACCACAAAGGATTACTATATTTTATGGGAAAGAATGCAGATCTGTGCATTCATAACTTTGAACAAAGAGCCAACAAGATCATAGAGTTTCCTGCTAGATCTTGTACTTCAATAAGAAGAAGCTATCTGTTAGAGTTCAATGGGAAGCTTTTGTCAGTGTTGATAGGCCACATGGGGAAATTTCTGCAAGTATATGCACTCAATCAAGAAACCATTGCTTGGAAAAAACTGGATGATCTCGAATACAAGATGTTGTTTGTGAGCGCTACTTCTGCATTATCAGCAACAAATAGCAGAGATAGGATTTCCGGCTTGGGAAACAAGCTGTTTTTGGACAGGTTTAAGGAGAAGGATGGTGTGTTCTATTCTCTGGCAACAAAAAGGTTTCATAATTTTTGGAGCGGATACAACAATGATGATTGGTGCAACACCAAAGAATATTTAAATTGTACATAGATCGAACCAAGCTTCAAAACACACACGAAAGATGAGCTTCAATGGTAATGGTTTGATCTGTAGTTCTTGTAGAAGAAACATCAAGCGATTGGGAATTCGACCATAACCTGTAATCTAGAGCAGTTTTTTCTTAGTTATTTAGGATATATCTAGTAAAGCTCTTTTACTTTAGAGATGAATTGGAGAAATCAATAGAGCTATTTTAAATATTTTTCATGATGCCCACAACAGTTTATTGACCTGTGGCTTTTCTCTGGCTTCCTTTCCCTCTTTTATTTCTCTAACTTTGGTTTCCTGTTTCTTGATGCAGTTGGGGTGTGCATGGGTGAATTATTTTCTTGGTTAGGGCTGTTTTCATTTCTCATTACAGATCTTTGCTCCCACATCAGTTTATTGAGCTTGTGGTTGATCAGTTCTCATGCTAATACTCTGGTTTCCTTTCCCTTTTTAATTTCTCTTGCTTTAGTTTCCTATTTCTTGATGCAGTTGGGGTTTGCCTAGATGATTTATTGTCTTGTGTGACAGTTGTGGGTTTGGTTGATTATAATCACTTCGCCTCTCTCATTCCTAACTTAGGAGTCCAAACTTGAATTGTTAATTGCGTATCTATTTTGTATCTTGGGTTTTGCCTTGTTGAGGATCTTTGCACAACTCTCCAGGCTTACATATGTGGCCTGCTTTTACTGTCCGCTGATTCCCATCATCATGTACTCATTCGGTGTCAACATTGTTTTGGGGAAGGCTTGGATGGTGCTCTATTTTCTATTTGTTTCTCTATAGTGCCCTTCAATTTTTCTTCTTCAGCGGCAGTAGGGGAGTTCTGATTTCTTGGGTTCTTGGAGGTCGTGTATTTCATTGTGGGTTTATTGCTCTTATATGGCTATTCGTGTTACTTGGGTTTGGTTCTTCGGATTTACCTTGTTGAACATCTTGATCACTCTGAATGGTGATTTCCTCTCTTCTGGTGTTTATGGAGCTTTCAATTGCACTTTTGATGATTGCTTGGTCTGCCCTGGTGGGGCTATTTATTAGTTGTTATGCAGGCGGCTGGTTTCATTGATTTACAATCAGATGTGCCTGCAATGTATCTCTGCGACATTGCCAAATCATCCGACTTTGGGTTTAATGATATTTACGTTTCTCTGTGTGTTTTGAGTTGCAGTCATCTGTACAAGATCAGGAGACTGGGAAATCATATAGATGTGTTGATCTTTACTCCATGACTCAGGTGAGGTACTGATGGACCAGTAGGTTGAGGAAATTGTTTAAAAGGAGTTTTTGGCCGTTTCCTGCAATTATTGCAGGATTTCTTCTTTCAAGGCAAAGAAAAAGTTGCATTCCTATTTCTATGCCGCCACAAAGTTGCTTGTTCTTTAAATGATTTTGGCTCAAGGCTAAGCTGCACTTCCATTGCAGTGTCATTTCTGATTTCTCGGGTGTTACTTCTACTTCTACAGGGAAAGATGGAAATGGATATAGTATATTTGTTTGGAACGCTTCGCCATCGTGGTTCTTTATGCTCTTACTTACACTACCCTGGTTTGTTGAATTAGAAGTGCTTTAGGTAGGAGTAGGACGGATAGACATCTTCTGTTACTTCTTATTTTTGAAAGAGCTGTTGGTTTCTGCTTAAGGTATATAATTATTTGTCTGTGATGGCGATCAGAAGAATGTTTTTTCTCTAAACCTCTGCGGAAAAAATAGTTTTCATCTGATGGAGCGGTCTAAGCATTCTGAACTAGCAGATGGTTCTTAGCTAGTCCTTGCAGTTCAGGGATGCTCTCTGTGTGCATATTATGTGTTGAAAACATGTTTCATAGCCTTCAGTGGTATCTATGTGCCATGTTACAGATCATTAGTTTAACTTCCTGCTTAAATTTGTGAAGCTTATCTGTTCATTTCTCTATGTGGTATGAATCTGTGGCCTCCAGACCCATTTGATTACTCTTTCAATGTTCCCTTGAAGGAGTATGAAGCTTTGTGTTTTTTGTTTAATTTTTGCTTGTTGTTTTCTTGTCTCTTACTTCCTGTCCTTTCCTCTTTTGTATTGTGTTGACCAATTCATGGAGCACAAGCTGTTGGGATATCGTTTGTATTAGCTTGTCCTGTTTTTTTGTTTGTTCAGGAAGGTATGATTTTGTAGAACTCTGTCTCAGTGGTCCAAAAGAGAAGCTGGGCTCTGCTGTTATAAGCCAGGTACTCTTCCTTTAAGGTGCATTTAAAAAAGTACTCTTGATAGCTTATTGGGAAGAGAATAATTGGAAAAGATAGTGTTGTCTATTTTGCAGCCTGCTATATATGTCACAAGTCTAGCTGCACTTGCGATCGTGATGATAGCCAGCAAATAATTGATTCAGTTGATGTCACTTGTGGTTGTGGACTCAGCTTGGGAGAATGCACTGCTCCAGCATTTTCTGGAGCCTTCAGGTGGTAACTCAGGACAATGTTTATGGTAGTTCTCTAACTGGAAGGTACCTTCAAGGCGGAAGTTGGATAATTATGTGACAAGATTCAAGGGGAATGCCATGCTAAATTTGCTTGTCGTTTGGACTGTTTTGCTTGGGTCAAGCTTGATAGTTATCTTCCTCAGGATAGCCATGGCCTTAAGGTTTGTTCTTTCTCTACGGTTCTTTTTCTTCGTTTTTAATTGTTGTTCTCTGGGTTTCCTGTTGTAAACTTTGTAGAGAATGTAGAAATTTTGGAGAGAAAGCTCAGCTGTATCAGAGCTTTCTATAGCTTTTATAGCTACTTTTGCAATTAGCATAAATGTAGCACGTGTCCTTACAGGATTGGTTCTCAATTTAAAAAAACAGTAAATTAACGGCTAACACAATTAAACTAAAATGCTGCCGTTTTCTTTAGTTCTTCAGCACTCATTCTTATCCTTTCTTCTGCAACAACGTCGTCTTCAATCTTTCACAATCCGCAGCCAGTGAGGATTGCTACACTCTGCAACTCTGCTTTGTCACCCCCTTCAAGTTGGTGGTACACCTGTGATCCCCAACTTGCTCATGATCTCTTTCATTCTAAATCGATCCAGGCCTTTGGTAAATATGTCTGCTAACTGTTCAGATGTTCCAACATGCTGCAACTTGATCAACCCAACTTTAATCCTATCTCTTGTAACATGAATGTCTATTTCGATGTGCTTTGTTCTTTCATGGAAAACAGGGTTTTCTGCTATGTGAATAGCAAACCTGTTATCACAATATACAAGGATAGGAAGAGGTACCTGCACTGTCAACTCAGAAAGTAACCTCTTTAACCACTCAATTTCACAAACCAGGTGTGCCAAGGCATGTATTCAGCTTCAGATGAAGATCTTGAAACTATTGTTTGTTTCTTGGTTTTCCAGGTAAGGAGAGAAGAGCCAAGGAAGGTGCAGTAACCTGTGATGGAACGCCTGGTGTCAGGGCAGCTTGCCCAGTCTGAATCACTGTATACCCTGATCTGGTGAAGACTTTAGATACCTTAGCACTCGATAAGCAGCCTGCATATGTTCTTCACAAGGATTCCTTTGGTATTGGCAGAGCTGCTGCACTGCAAACACTATGTCTGGTCTTGTGATTGTGAGATAATGAAGCCTGCCTACCAACCTTCTGTATGCTTCACCATCCTTTAGCAAAGTTCCCATAGAACTCAGTTTTACCTTTGCATCAATTGGAGTTTTACACCCCTTTTCTTCCAAATACCCTGTATCCTTCAATAAGTTTACACAATACTTTCTTTGACATACATTCCAGCCCTTTTGATCCCTGCCAACTTCTAGACCAAGAAAATACTTCAATAGTCCCGGAAGCTTCAACTTGAACTCTTTGCTCAGAGCTGTCTTCACTTGATCTATGTCTTTCTGTGCATCACCTCCAACTAAGATATCATCAACATATACAAGTATTACTGTAATCCTTCCATGTGTCCATTTAGTGAAGAGTGAGTAATCAGACACTGACTGAGAGAAACCCAATTTCAACAGAAAACTGGTAAGCTTTGCAAACCATTGCCTAGAGGCCTGTTTCAGGCCATATAATGACTTTTTCAACCTGCAAGTCATCTTCTGATTTCCTGTTGAGTTTACTTTCAGTCCAAGTGGGATTTTCATGTAGACCACTTCATCTAAATCTCCATGCAGGAATGCATTAGATACATCCATTTGTTCCAAAGTCCAATTCCTCAAACTTGCTACTGCTAGGAAGGTCTTCACTGTGTTTATCTGAGCTACTGGTAGGGGGTGTCTATTTGGACCGGGACTGGATTAAAAACCAGAAACCGGACCGTTTAAGACCGGGACCAGATTTAAAACAATCCAATCCCGTCTTTGGTCTTAGAAATAGCAAAAAAACCGGACCAATCCAATCCGGGTCAAAACCGTGTTAAAACCGGAAGACCGGATAACTAAATAAGCCCAGAGGCAGGCCAAGCCCACTCACTACAAGTCTGCAACTCAGGCCCATTTTCCCCTCCCTCCCAGGCCCAGCCGAGTCAAGTGTCAAAGCAGCAGCGGCTAGGGTTTGCATTTTGCAATTTGCAAAGTAGGCAGCAGCAGCCGCTCGCCCGCTCCAGCCTCCAATCCATCGTCCTCGACAGTCGACTCCTCGTCCATCCTCCCCCAACAGGCCAACAGACGACCGAGCTTCTCCTCCTCCATAGTCGCCGGCTCGCCCTCCACGCCTCCACCAGCTATCGTCGCCGGCTCGCCGCTCCCCGCTCCACGCCTCGCACAGTCGCCGGCTCGCCGTTCCACTCCTCCACCAGCCTCCGTCCCGTCGGCCGTCGCAACCCCACCCTCCGCCCTCCACTCCATCTCGACGAACAGACCAACATCCGGCAGCTGTCCCATCGGCCGTTGCAACCCTAGCCTCCGCCCTCCACTCCATCTCGTCGTCTCTGTTTGTCGACCAGCAGCCGGCAGCTGTCCCGTCGGCCGTCGCAACCCCAGCCTTCGCCCTCCACTCCATCTCGTCGTACTCTGTTCGTCGACCATTTGCTATAAAAGGTCAACC